CCCCGCCCCCCTGACCCCCAAGCCCCTGGTGGCCCCGCCAGCCCCGCCGGCACCTTCATGGGCTTAGAGGAGCCCTCCTCTGGGAAGCCCAGGCACGATCACCGAGCAGGTCCCAGGAGGTGCCCAATCCCCACAGCCCACCCAGTCGTCCAGGGGCCCCGCCCAGGGCCCGGCGTGTGACCTGAGCGGGAGGCCTCAGCCGGCCACGCACCTCTCGGAAGGGCAGCCTGCCGGTGAGCTGCAGGCCCAGCATGACCATCCGGGCCACCCAGAAGAAGAGGATGTCGTGGCCCGTCTCCAGCAGGGTCCCCGGGTAGAACACACTCAGGTCCTCTGACTGCGGCAGAGCAGAGCGTGACGGGGAGCTGAGCACCACCTCAAGACCCTGCCCCACCTGAGCTGGCCTCAAGGACGTACCTGGTGGGGCCAGCCCAGGATGGAGAAGGGGAAGAGGCCAGAGGAAAACCAGGTGTCCAATACGTCCTCATCTGAGGGAAGCCAAAGGTCAGAGGTCAGAGGTGAGGATCTGAGGCGAGGCCCTGCCCCCCACCCCCAAGGCCCTGCCTTGCCTTGCTGGAGGCTGATCTTGTCAGGGGACACTCCAAACTCCTTGGCTGCCTTCTCACGGGCCTCGGCCTCGCTGCGCCCACTCACCCAGTACCGCCCGTTGGGATCCTGCCACAGGTGCCATGAATACGCGGGGGGCACCCCTGCCTTGCCCGACCCTGCCTCCCACCAAGGACCCAACAAACCCAGCGCCCCCAGATGTGCTCACCTCCCCGGGGGGAACGGCTGGGTCGCGGACAGTGACGAAGTAGGCTGGGATGCGATGGCCCCACCACAGCTGCCGGGAGATGCACCAGTCCCTGCAGAGGGCGTGAGGAGTCAGGGCGAGGCGGTGCCTGGCCGGTGCGCTCAGCCCTCCCCAGCCCCTCCCGGCGAGCCGACGCACCGGATATTGTCCATCCAGGCGTGCCACGTCCGCTGGTGGGCCTCAGGCAGGATGCGGAGGTCACCCCGAGCCACGGCGGCACTGGCCGCCCGGGCCCTCTCCCCGCAGCGCACGTACCACTGCGGCCGCAGCAGGGGCTCCACCACGTCCTTGGACCGGCTGCAGGACACACCGGTGGGGAGGTTGGGTGGGGAGCCCCCAGAGGAGCCACCCCCCTTTCTCTGGCCCCCGCCCTCACTTGCAAAGCGGCACCACCATGGGGTTGTCCTGGATGCCACGGAACAGACCCCGCTCCTTCAACGCCGCCAGCACCGCCTTCCGGGCCTCAAACCTGGGCAGGCCCTGGGGGAACAGGCCTCGTCATG